TACCAACGGAATGCGTATCCGATCACCAGGTCTCTCATCCGAGGGAAAGTCTAGCCATTTTTGCTAACCCTGACCTAATTCCTTTTCCCAATGCAACCGTGCGAATCAGTCAGATCTTTGATTCAACTTTTTCGAGCCTACCCATCATCCACCTACGTGGTGTACGATGTCAACCATGCACACTCACACCCACACTTATGTCCATGGATGCGGTTCCTCTGTGCAAATACAATGTAATGCACTATTGCAATATCAATGTCATGCTCATATGTAATGAATACCACATGAGCAAGTTTAACTACATATCTACATATTCCATGGTCAATTATATCATACGCATATAATCACTAAATTTTATCACAATGTTAATATATCAACAAACATATATCCACGTTTTATTTCCAACAACATATCTCAAGCATGTTATCACATAATATATGCTAATAACACACTTCATTCACAAGGCATATTATAAACACATAACATGCCCACATAATACCAAATTTCATGGAATTACACAAGTAATTTTCACATTTTAATTCAAAGCTAGGAAATTAGTTCAAACCATTTCTATACCCATTTCATCAATTTCACAAACATAGGTAAGTGTTAAGTCTCTAACAACCTACCCATCTTATATAACACCTTATGTTAGAAAATAAACCAAAGTAGGAAAGAACTCTATCTCTTGAAGCGTGAAATCAACTTAGAAGACCTTCAAGAACACCAAAAAATAAGCTAGAATCCCTAGCTTCCAAAAACCTGTTCCTTGATCTTCGGTAAAACCCGTTGTTTTTGGTGTGGTTGTGTAGCCCTCGATGCGTAGAACAATCTTTGTTCTTAGTTTGAGTTGATTCGAACAACGAATCTTTGTAGATCGTAGAGAGAAGTGGAGAATCCAAGTTTTTTCCTATCTTCCTATCACACGTTAGAACTAGATGATGAATGGGGGGACAAATCAGATTTTTCCCCTATTTATACCCTCTATTTACTTGGCCTATAACACGCTACACGACCCTTTTTTTCTTGGGTCCGTTTTTGTCCCGAAACGATTAAATTTTGTCTTGGTTTAAGTTAAAAATTTTCTTATTTTAAATTTCCCCAAATTATATTTTAATTTTAAAAATTTTATTAAAAATCTCGTTTTTGGGTCACCCAAGACTCGACCGCCTCATAAAACAAAAAAAATTTGACTATCTTGGAACTCGATGAAATTTGACAAGATAGCTAGAATTCATGAGATGAATCCAATGGTGAGGTCCTTTTTTTCATTCGAGATCTAAAAAAATTTAGATTTACAACCCGTACTGTAGTGACAATTTACCGTTTTATCTTTTTTTTATAAAAAAGTTCAAATTTACCCAGATTTTACATACTGTGTTATGGTGTAATGTATAAATACCTTCCAATTAACTTACCATTGACACAACAGTTAATTGTGGTATGGTGGCACTTTCATAATCTCAAGCAATGACACGCATGTCCCGATCCCCAAACTAAAGAGCTCTCTTTTAAGTTGTTGCAACAAATTTGTTTTCAAGAACTTTATTTTTCATTCACTAAGCTTACACCACAATCCACTATTTCACAATCTTTGCTCTAGGTTTCATTTATCCTTTTTTGCTTAAGTTTTCAACAGATAACTCCCTGAGGAATCGAACTTGGACTCTACAGAGATATATTACAACTTGACCACTTATACTGGGGTGTGCTTGATAGAGATCAAGTTTTTGGCAGCATTACAGGGGAGTTACGGTAGTTTAAAAAGAGAAAGGGAAGTTTCCTAGATTGTGCTATATGTATATATTCTTTGCTTCATTTTGTGACTATATTTGTTTATGTTTGCCAAGTTAGTAGGGTTTGTAAATTAGTCTAGTTCATCATCTTCCTCACCATCATCTTCATTACAAGCATCCACAAACTCTTTTGATTTAAGCATAACTAAAAATAATCAAAGAGATAGAGAGGTGGTTTAGAATGCATGGCCTTTGAGAGAATATTTTCATCTTACACACACTAGTATCCCTTCATATTTTGCTTTTCCTACAAATGCTCCAAATTTAAATGTCAAACCAAGGACAATATAACTTTTACCTTAGTTTCATGGTCTTGAGTATGAAAATCCCTATTTACATATACAAGAATTTGAAGAATTATCTGGTGCATTGCAAGATAATTAAGAAAATGGCATGGTTAAAATTTTCCTTTTTTTTTTAAAGGATAAAGCTAAAAAGTGGCTAAATTCTTTGAAAGCTCAGTCTATTCCAAGTTGGTAAGTTTTACAAACTAAGTTATTCAAGATTTTTTTCCTATGCACCAAACTAATGCATTGAGATGACAAATTATGAATTTTGATTTGAAAGAGGGAGAAACGATTTACCAATGTTGGGAGAGATTTAAGGATCTTCTCCAAGATTGCCACCTCATGCATTTCAGAGTTGGACCCTATTTGATTGTTTTTATAATGCCTTTCCTTCTACATTATGTCAATTTGTTGAAATAATGGTCCAAGAAGAGTTCATGGAAAAGAATCCCGACAAGACATTTGAATTTTTGACACCATTTCTGAGAGTTCCCAAGTGTGGGACTCGGCCTCACCAAAACCATCCACGCCCTTGGGAGGGAAATATGAGTTGAAAGAGGATGACAATCTGAGGGCCAGAATGACTACCTTGTCTTGAAAGCTAGATGCTCTAGAGATGAAAAGGTCAATGAAGTTTTTGTTGTGTCTCCTACCAACCAATTGTGTGAAAATTGTGCTTTGTCAAGACATCCCACGGGAGGGTGTCCTATCATTCCAGCATTTAAAGAAGTCTTGATGGAATAGTCAAATGTCATTTTCAATTTTAACAAGCCTTCTTCCAACCATTCTAAGACCTATAATCTAGGGTGGCAGAACCATTTAAGGTAAAGTGTTGGCTAAGAGAACCAGAAAGAGCGTGTATATATAAGTTACAGTAGAGACCATAAGGAGAAAAAAGGGTAGGGTTTCAAATGGGTCTAGGAATCCGATGTTCAATCTAGAACAAATGTCATATTGTCTATTAATAGTCAGTTATTCTACTAAAAACTTATTATTGATCTCCTAGGTCTTATTTTATAATTATATTTCAAGTTCCTTGTTATTATATGTTTAATAATCACCTCAAGTTTAAGACTACAAACATCGGTCAATTGATTAAAGTACTGACAAATATATTTAATTGACCTTTTTTTATCTTTGAGATCTTAGCATTCAACTTATTTGTCATGTCAAATAATAAAATTTATCCGCAGGGTGTGATATGGATAAAACTTATGAGTTTCCTCAACAATACATTATCAACCCATTTAAATACCGGGACATGGTTTCCTTTAATAATTAATTTTCACCATGCAAATAATGTTATCTCCCAATTCTCTAAGTTTGTTGACTCAAATATAAATCTTATCCATTGATGAATTAAAGTAACAATTATTATATGCACATGTTTATCAAATATCTTGGAATTAAGAGCTCAAACAATCATAATAACTATGATATATTTATTTTCTTATTTAGTTAGTAAAAAGATAATAATAACAAAAATGGTCATTACACAAATTGTATTTGTGCAACAATCTAAGACATTAGACAATTTTTTATAACTAAGAGAGACTATGTCAGAAGATTGCACTACAATCCTACTGATAGTGTGTCTAATTTTTTTTACTTTTACTCATATCATCAAATTATATACAACGTAAAAAAAAGAAGATAAACATGCATACCATGTATTTAATATAATAAAAATATTTTCCCCCACATATTCCCATTAAAATAGAAAATGATGAACTTTAATTAAATAATAAATTGAGTTTTATTGCAAAACACATTCTTTCAATACATAATTAGGGGTAACCCGTGTCTAAAGGCACGGTGCAACGTAAATCAATATGAATAATTTTGAGAGAGATTTTGATAACTGTTGGATGAATTTATTTAAAATCATTGAATGAACTTATTGAAACGTGCTATATTTTACATTACAGATTCTTTCAATTTAAAAACTACAATACATTTTGGAGGGAAGTTTGAAAATTTGAAGCAAAACAAATCTATTGCACTAGACAATACATTCGAAAGGAAGTTTGAAATATTTGAAACAAATAAATATCTATTACTTTTGAAATAACCTTACACACAATTCATCTAATAATTATTCTCAGCAGAACTTGTTTTTTTTTTTTTTTTTTTAGTTTGCTCTGTAATTGATATTTGTAAAGGCAAACGGTTGACAGAATGTATTCTCTTTTAGTACAACTTCTATTTTCTTTACAAATATATTCCAACTTTGTGCTATGACATCCTAGTTACAAATTGACTGAAATCTAAGCCTTTTCTACTTGTGTTGTGTAAGCAAACGGTTGCTTCTTTAATTTCTAATATAAAATTGTCATAGATGTTGAGTTTTCTTTCTTTTTAAATATTACTTTAAATATTATTCTAACTAACATTTGTTTTGTTGTTTTATCTTATTTTTTTACCGGGTTTGCTCCTTTACTTGAAATTTAATTTCGTGCAGAGTAGTGTTATATATATAAGCATATTATTCATATAATAAGATGCATATGGATCATTTTTGTAAATAGTAATCAAACAAGCTTTCGTTTCTTTTTTTTTTTTTTTGGTCCAAAAAGTCAATGGTCCAAAAAGTCAAGCTTTAGTTTCTTGATAAAATTACAGTTTTATTTAACAATAATGTTACACTGGTCAAATTTTTAGACTAAATCAAGAGTTCAAATGACATGACAATTAACTTGGTCTTCTTTAGTCAAAGGTACGATAATTTTGAACATCAAACTTCCTCCCCCACCCCAGCTGCCTCTCCCTCCAACCCCTAAAGAAATTAAACAAAAAAATTACCAAAAAATATGCTATCTCCTGGTATTAAGGTAGCTGAGCACGTGGCTGGCTTACAAGCCTTGTACATACATGAATCTGCAAGCACCGCCATGAATATCTGCCTGTCCTTCAGCACATGGTCGGTCCATTAACAATACTTTTCTCTTTGTGCCCATCTGGACCATCCACTCACTCACTTTATACAGATGCCTTGTTCTGAAAATTCTCCAACACGAAACTATGGTCTTAGTCTCTCTCTCTCTCTAAAACACGCAAACACACAAAAAATGTGAGAATGTGCATATTGTAGAACATAATCTTGTACATGCAATGTACTTTGAAGGTCGGAAAGGAAGATCCGATGATACGATCAGAATGCTGGCCTAGGAATAAGGAATTTAGGATGCTTTCCACCAAAACATAGTAATGGTTGCTATCAATATAATCAGAGATCCCTTATTATATGATTCCTATTCAAAGAAATAGACATATCACTTGACCGCCAAAAACGTTGGCGCCATTTGAAGTGGTTGTCCATCAGATTCTGCTTGACCACTCGTGAGACTATGGTTTATCTAAGGTGAGGGGTACCAAAATTTTCTTTTTCATTTTTTGTGGTTGGCACAATGCACTTATATTTATCGAGATGGACAAGTAACATCTCTTCATCACATGATCTGTGAAATATCTTGTATTCATGTTCAATTGGTAGCTGTAGGGATCAAAGTACGCAACCCAAGTGGAAAGTGGCCTTTGCCACTTTGGATGAGGCTAGCCAGCCTGGCCACTCGGCAAAAGGCAAGGCAAGCCTCTGTTAGTCTGCAAAGCAAGCAAGCGAGGGCAGGAGTGCTGCCAGTCGGCAAAGCTGAGAGGCGAGGGCAGGAGGGCTCCCAGACGGCAAAGCCAAGAGGCAAGGTCAGGAGGGTTACGAGTCGACAAAGCCAGCAAGGTAAGGCCAGGACGGCTACCAGTCGGCAGGTAGCTGGGCTCGCCTCCGCCAGTCGGCAGGTCCCTGGCTAGGCCACTGTCAGTCGGCAGGTGGCTCACCTGGTTTCTGCCAGTCGGCAAATGGGCTTGCCAGGTCACTACAGTAAGCGAATCAGATAGCTTGGGTAGGTCCTCCCTCATCCACGTTTGGTACCAAAAGCAACTATGGGTGAGTCCTATTTAGTAAAAGGAGGATCTCGAGTCCTAATTTAACACCACTTCGCATGTCTAGGAGCAGGTGATAAGGAGTTAGGATCTAGAGTCCTAATCAAACTCTACCCCATACTTATAATAACTGGTGACGAGGTTGAACCAATCAACCAACACTCATGATCTAACTTAAGTATTGGAGTCCCTTTTTGTCACCTCCGGTCAATGATTCACCTAGGTATTCTCTTGTTTTACAAGTCCGTCAAGGCTTCGTCATCACCCTCTCAATCCTTACGAGGTGATTAACTCTTTGTGTGAAATTCTTCTCGCACAGTTGACGCCATCTGTGGAAAATGACTTAGTTTTCTACCAACCAAAAAAGCCTTGAACCATGACTAGCGAGAGAACTCTCCATCTTAGATCCAGCAACACACTACTTCCACTACCCCTAATCTGCGAAGATCTCGCTAACTATGATCTGTAGTTATCAGAGGACGTACTCCCCCATGATGGGTAGGATCACTCTAAAGAAAAACTTCTTTCTCACCACAACCTACTAGTCCTTGGTGCAAAAGGTGGGTTAGCTACCGAGGTTGATTATCATGAGGCGATAAGGAAGAAGATAGAGGAGTTAAAAGCTCTCAAGTAGGGCCTCCTATGTCAAAGTGGTAAGAAACTCACTAGCAAGGTCAAACGTCCAGACAATAACTTTGATCATCAAGAAAATAAGCCCATTCTTCCAGACGTAGGAGCTTTTCTTCAGGAGGGAGTCAGTCAACTCATAATGAGATTCAAGGCAGGTATTCACCAAGGCGAAGCGTTTCTCATTGCACTTACAGAGACCCTTCTTCAAGGTATAATCGTCCTCGCCATTGGGAAGGAGGAGGCAAAATATGAACGCAATGCCATCCTATGGAGCAAGGGGATTGGCATGAGAGCTCATCCCATTATCATGGAAAGATCATTGGGACAACAACTTTAAAAGAGAAAAACATGGATGCTCCGAGCCAACTCTCCAAGCAACCACTCGGCTACAACATGACTTCGCTAGGAGAGGGCGAGGCACACCCTCATAAAGATGATTACCACACCTTTCATTCAGTTCATACAAGAATCGAAACCCCCATGAAAGTTCACTTCTCTGGCTTTTGAGTTATATGATGGCAATCCAATCTCGTGATCTATATAGGAGCATTTACTAACAAGATGACCCTCTGAACAAGCAATGAGGCATTGATGTGCAAAATGTTCCCCTCTAGTTTGGGAAATTTGGCTCTTAAGTGGTTCCATGGAGGCCTGTGAACTTGATCTACTCTTGGGAGCAACTCACCGAGGGAGTTTGTCTCTAGGTTCATAGTTAACAGTTGAGAGCCAATGATGATTGATATACTCTTGGCACTATGCCAAAAACAAGGAGAGACTCTTCGAGAGTAAGCTACGACGTACCTGGAGACTTATGCCAACATCGAATAATGTGACGAGAAGATTGTTGTTGTCTCTTTTCACTTGGGCCTCCCAAGGGAAAGCGAGTTATGAAAACATTTCACTATTTGGCCACCCTAGAGTATGTCCCACTTGTAGGAGCACATCAAGAGGTACCATAATGGGCCAACTAATCGGTTGTCATTTGCACCAAGGAAGAACCAAAGGAAGGAGGGTAACTTCACTAACCCGTCAAGGAAGGAAGGGACATCAAAGAAGATGATAGACTCATTCCATAGAGTTGATACCATCTTTAAGGAACCAATATATCAAATTTTAAACTAGATCAAAGACAAGGATTAATTTAGGTGGGCACCGAAGATGAAGAGAGACCCCTCCAAGCAAGACCAAAGCCTCTATTACTCTTATTACAAGAATAAGAGTCACCGAATAGAGAATTGTCAGACTCTCATTCACTACTTTGAGGAATTGGTCAAGTAAGGCCACCTATCCCAGTACGTAGATAAGGAGAAAACTACCGAGGAACAGACAGAGTCACGAGTCTGACCGTTTACCAACCTTGACTAAGGGACGATTAACCTCCTAAGGTGATAAATGTCATCCTTAGCACAACTCCCCCAATGCAAGTTGACTCAGTCCAATCTTAGATCGAATATCAAAAAGCTCACCATCTTTAGAATGTTATGTAAGCCGATCACCAAAGTGGTCATACTTTCAAGTGCCAAAGGGTAGAATTAGAGAGTGTCCCTATCACATTCTCATATTCTGATTTGGAAGGAGTCGTTAACCCACTTAATGACCCTCCCGTTCTTTTATTTCACCATGAATGAATATGAAGTAAGGCGCGTGCTTATTGACTTAGGGAGCTCAAAGGAGATCATGTATTATGACCTATTTAAGAATTTAGGAAAAACCCAAGTCGACCTCCTCTCAAAGACGACCTCACTCATTGGCTTTAATGACATGCAAGTTTAGCCTCTTGACAAGTTTAGATTTCTTGTCAAGGCCAGTTCTCAAGTGTTTGAGGTATATTTTTTAGTGGTGGATCTTCCATCACCTTACAATGCTATCATAGGAAGATCAAGGCTCCACTAGATGAAAGTGCTAGTTTCCACTTACAAGAGGTCTAATGTCAACACTGGTTGTCAAACACTATTGTGGTAAAGAAGAAGAACGGAAAGTGGCGAGTATGCATTGACTTCACAAACCTCAACAATGCTTGCTTAAAGGATCTCTTCCCATTTTCAAAGATTGATCAACATGTTGATGCAACCTCTGTGTGAAACTTGAGAAAATTTAAATGTTTATTAAAGGAGTAAAATGGTAATTAGTCATTAAAGCAAGTGTCAAAAACTCAAATGTTTATAAAACTTGGATGAAAAAATAGACATCACCATTAGATTCTTCTCGCGAAATTGAGTGAGCCAATCAATTTTCATCAAATTCTAATACAGTTGGATTTTTGAGTGTTATGATGCAATTGGGTATCACATGATTAAAATTCGGCGATCAGATTTTAATCGTGGAACCCATAAAATAAAATAAAGGAAATCTCATAAAATTATATAAAAACATGACATGTGGCAAGATGTGATTGGTTGGGATAAAATTACACCAATAAGAAAGTGACAAGTGGCACATTTGACACTATATAATGGAGAACATCTCCACTCATTTGTTCTTAATAATTTCGGTAGTAAGAGAGAAAGAGAGAAGAAACACATTTCTCTTCAAATTTTTCTTCTTTTTCCTACAATCTAGTAAGATCTGAGTGATGACTTGCTTCGGAGTAAGAACTAAAGTTGCTCACAACAATGAGGGCTTACCATCCATGCTCAATTATGACACATTTCAGAAATTAGAGTTTTGGCTTGGGATTGAACGAAGCATCGTGAGTTGTTCTACCTCGTGTGCACACTATAAGAGGCAGGGTTCCCTCCTATTTAGGTTTACTTTCAACCTAAGGTTGCTATATAAAATGGGTAAGGCTATGGGTGTGTGTATCAAATGTTTTAGCTCTTGATTAGTGTAACTAGTGGGTTAAGGTTGAATATGAGCATTGGGTGAATCCTTACCTTGCCTAAATTTGGTTTGATTAAATGGATTATTGGGTATACTATGTTTTTACACTGTATGCTTCCTATGTTTTGATAAAATGTCTCAATGAAATCAAGCATGCTAATTGAGCTAATCAATATATTTAACATGTGTTGGGTGATATGGTAGAATGTTGTTGTATGCTTCCATGATATAATTAATATTATGATGAAGCTTATTTGGCTTTGTTGTGGGTGTGCTTTGTATATACATTTCATGCCTCCTAAGTATTTGATAAAATGCCTAAATGAATCAAGCATGTTAATTGAGCCAATTTATGGTAATGGACATGTTCATTATATGCTTTATGATATGATGAGCCTGATGATATGAATTGCATGTGCACATTGCATTTGCGTATGCACTGGTTGCACTACATTCATTGACATTGACATGAGTGTGAGTGTAAGTCGCACAATTTATTAAATGAATAAATGTGTCGGGGTGTAACAAGAAGGGTTAGATTTTCTCTCGGGTGAAAGACCCGGTAAGGTGAATTACATGTTTTCCATTGGTGTAATGAGACCATAAAAGCGTGACGGCAAAAATGGAGCTGCTGGTGGGATGTCCTGAAGTTCCATTAACTGTGTGGTGTCTGATTAGTACTTAAATGTAGCATATTATTATGCCTTTTTAGGACTAATTGTACTTTGATGGAGTTCAAGTAAGGATATTTCATGTTCTAAAGTGAACAAGGGCTCGAGGGCAACGAAAGTCACACTTGAATGTCGCACCAGCACATTAGGGAAGGAAATTGGAGAGGCTGGGAACAAAGCAAGAACGTTCGAACGCCAACTCATGTTCGAACGTCCATTTGAACTATGACAAGGCCAGACTGATGAGACATGGCGTGTTGCAACAAACAAAGAAGGAGAACTTTGAAGCACTTGAGTACCACATTCGAACGCCATTAAATGTTTGAACGTCCTTTGGAATCAGTTGAAGAACAGACTTCTACATAGAGTGTGTAAATGAACTTCACAGAAGACCACTTGAGTGGAAAAGGTCAGGCTCCATCTGGCGTTCGAACACCTATAAAGCAAAAGCAGAAGACACGTTCGAACGACAGACACTGTTCTCCGCCCCTTAAGCAAAACAGAAGATGACGTTCGAACATTGATTCACATTTGAACGTCCTCCACAAACTGCCTGTAGAGTAGTTTTTTTTCAGGGGCGGCATACACTATTCACTCATCCTCTCTTATCTTCTTGTCTTCCCCCCTCCCCTTCCTGGCCTATAAATACTCCTATGTTGGGAGCTTGAAAGGATTCTTCCTCTTGTAGAGTAAGGAGGTGCAATACTTCTCTTGTGGAGTAGGAATCCTTTTCTCTTGTAAAGTGGA